AAAAACAGTAGAAGATATCCAAAACCAGCAACACATCTCTCTCATTCTATACCAACTTAACCACCCAGAGTTTGATACATTAACCTTCAAAATTAGACTCCAACAACTACAGAATGCAGCCGCAATCGCACAATCTATTCTTCAACATTATAACTACATAATAGCACAACCCGAACATCTCTCACTCTCAGCTCAGATACTCAAAAGTCTACAAAATACACAGATTTCATTAGAAAACCAAAATAACAGCTGGCCCATACCTCTAATAAAACCAGAACTCTTGATCAACACAGTACTTCAATATCTCAAAACCCCACACTTAGTTAAAAAAAGCCTTAACAGGCTAGGTCTATTTGTAATCGAGCAAATTACAAACATTATGCAAACAAACACTATTTCTTGGACACACCTTCTGCAAATGATTCAAAAAATTCCACATGGCATGAAATCAAGATGGTTCATAGAATTAACTAACATAGTACAGAAAGAAATCTTGACCAACAGAATTAAGCTAATTATACCAAACCTATACATATGGCATGAAGCCTCTGCTAAAAAATTAAAATGGATTGCTGACTCTACACAGCTTAGCATCAGCAAAATCACATCTATAAAGCAAAATGATGCAACAACTCATTACTAGAAACTCAACTATACAGACCACACTATAACACCATGCCCTGGCTATGAAATTAACGACCCTAAAATAAAAAACAAGAAATGTATCTTTAGAAGACCACTTAAGCAAATAACTACAATATAGGTAGATAGTAACCACAAAATTCGATGCAATATTAACGAGGCGATAAACAGCAACCACCACACAGAAGACAACAACCCTTCTACCAGGATACCACCAACAACAGAACTCATTACTACCTCAAAAAAACAAAATATTTACAAAGATATCCATAGCTCAATACACCCCACAGAGACAGCTCAAGCTCTCTGGCAAATACACCAACAACTACCAGAAATAAACAAAGTAGACGTAGCTATGAGCTACTCTAAAATAACTAATAACACCTAAACGATCCATACAGTAACCTGGCAAATACTTCACACCAATATCAAATTCTGCCAAACTACACTAACCTGGCCATCTAAGAACAAAATCTTTATAGACATACTATCTAGTATTGCACTAATTTTAAATCTCAAAACATGACTCACAGTTCACACCGAAGACCAAAAGTTCATACACCTTACTAATACAATCCTTAATATACCAGCTTACAACATTACATCTATCCTATCAGTATACCTATGGCCCAATTGGCTTACACTCAAGGCACTTATCGAGAAAAAACAACTATCCATCACCATGGCCTTCAACAATTCCATTACCCATTTTTGACCAGCAACCAACA